GGAGGGCTCAGCAGGCGCAGACTGTTCTGAATGCTGTTTGGAGGGTGGAGATATTTGGTGTACGGCACCAGGAAATCGCTCGCTTTGTCTGAGCGCATGGGGCTTGGCGGAAGGACCTGCCACACACTCTTTGATTTTAAGCTCGCCGCTTGCCCGAGGAAAAACGTGCACTGCTACGAAACACTTTGTACACGTGTACGCCTTGAGTACAAATGTGCATCTGCACGTGCACGTCTGATTTCGCTCGCCAGCTATACCGGTCCCTGCGACGCGCCTCGCGAGAGCCACGAACCCCTCGGCGCCACCGCTGCAATAGGCGAGTAGCACCACAGGTGTGAGCCTGCAGCGCACAGAGTGATCAGCAGCACGTCTGGAAGGAGCGGCGAGAGCTTGCCTCCTCGAGTTCTCCCTCCTCCTCCGCCTATCTCTCCTCGATGTTCGTCGACGACCTCTTCGTCCTCATCCTTTCTCCAACGTCTCCTCTCCTGTCCACGAGCACGCAGCGCACACGCACACCCGCACAAACACGCACGCGCACACGCACGCGCACACGCACACGCACACGCACACGCACACGCACGCGCACACGCACGCGCACGCGCACGCGCACGCGCACGCGCACACGCACACGCACACGCACACGCACACACACACACACACACACGAGCTGCGCCACGGTAGCCTGCTCGTCCTCCCCCTCCTCCGCCGCCTTCCCTGCGCCCTCCGACCCCATTTCGCAGGCCTGTACCTCCACGTGAAGTCGAAGGTGTACTACATCCAGAAGGAGCCCCTCCGCCACGAGCCCTCCCCCCTCCGGCCGCACGCCGTGGGCCCCGCCGCGCGGGCGCGCCTTGCACCGCCGCCCCGCCCTGGCCGGCCGCCCTGGCCGCCCGCATGCCCACCGACGACCTGGCCTCGAGGGCTCGCTGCCGCGGACAGGTGATAGCTCCCCCTCCCCTCCTCCTCCTCCTCCTCCTCCTCCTCCTCCGCCCTCCTCCTCCTCCTCCTCCTCCTCCTCCTCCTCCTCCTCCTCCGCCCTCCTCCTACTCCTCCTCCTCCTCCGCATCCTCCTCCACGGCCCGAGCCGCCGACCCCACCGCTCTGCGACGTTTCTCGAGCAGGAGGGACTTGTGGAATGGTCCTCGGGCCCGAAGGCGGGCGAAGGCGGCCGGTGTGAGCAGACAGGGGCGCCCAAAGCTCGGGAAGCCTCAGGTCGTCATCCAAGACGTTTGCTGCGCCCCCCTCGCCTTTTGACAATGCCGTGCCGCAGTTCCCTCCGACAGAGGGTTGGCGGCGTCCGTATCAACACGCAAACATACAACACTGCTTGAATGTGCGCACACGCGCTCGCGGCCGGCCTCCCGCCCTTCGTCCGTCTTTCGTACATGCATGCCTAAGTTCACGTACCGCTTAACGGGCGTTCTGGCCATGCGGACTACAAGGTTTTTTTTTGAGGTTCATGAGGCCTGTGCTAAGCCATATACAAGGGCACGAAAAATAGCATGACACTTGTAACCGTTTGCGAATGGATGCGCATTTTCTTGAGCAGGGAATTGCTCGGCAAAGTGCGTGGTATCAGCCAGGATGTTCAATACGAGGTCCCGCGACTGTGTCGTAAACTTCGGCGGTGTTGGGTCCACGCAAGTACGGGATGGTGGCGGACCCGAATCAGATCGCCTGAGGGAAAAAAGGGAGTCGGGGCCCGTATTTCCCGTACGCCGCCAAGGCGACATAAAGCTGGGCAACATGACCTTCGCGGCGGCTCCCAGCGATTGCGTCATTGGCGCAGCCGCGGGTCTTCCGCAGAATCGCAGGCTGCCAAACTCCGCTGGCCGCGCGGGTTCGCCCTCGAGTCGGGGCGCGGGCCGCCGAGGCGCGCCGCGGTGTGGCAGTCAGGGGCCCCCCCGGTCCCCCGTTGCCGGCCTCGTTTGACCAGGCCTGCGTGATTGATTCCGACTCCTCCGTCGAAGTCGACGCCGCGCTTGCCCCGCGACACAGAGGGGGGCAGCAGCCCTCCAGCAGCGTCGGATCGAGCATCTGCAATGCTGGGCCGACGCCTCGCTTAGGGCTGAAAGCACGGGCGCGGGTCGGGGCGGATCCACGGCGGAGGGCAACTATGTTTCGAAACCTCTCACACCGACGCACCCGCCGCTACGGCGAGCGGCCGAGCGGGAAATCTGGGACGACCAGCATAGAAACAGCCTCGGCCGTCCTTCTTGAGTTATCGGTGATTCACCGACAGCAAAGCGGTCACTGATGGGAATCCTGACGACGTGTCGCTGCGCAAACCGGGGAGCGACGAATGGAATATGTTCTCGCGTCGCCAGGCCCTTCGATCTTCCCGCGTGAGCCCGACCGCGGAGATAGCGTCGCCTGGAGTTCCGCTTGGCAGCCCGTTATTCGCTCGCGCCCACGGGAGAGGTTCGCCCCGGCGGCGCGCAGTCGTGCTGCCAATGCCCTGTCTGGCGCACCGATCTCGCCGGTCCCCATTGCCACGTCAAGCGCATCGATCACGCGTGCCCAAGAGCCCTGCGCCAACCCCTTGCCCAACTGCGCCCAGTTCCCTGATGGCTGCTGCCCAGGCGATCGCGGTCGGTGTCTGGAGCCCGTTCGCCGCGGATGCTCATCGGGCTGCCATCGTCGCATCCATGTGTTTCTCTGCCAGGGCCGTTGCCGCCGGCAGCCGACAGCGGCGCCGCTCTTTGTGGGCAATAATGCGAAGGGGCGGAGGAGAAGAAGCGCCAGGCGGCGATCGCCGAGAGGGGCTCGGAGCGGACGCGCGCGCGGGAACAATTCGCGCAGGCCGAATTTCAGCGGCGAGCTGCCGCGCGCCCACAGGCCGAGGCAGACCGCGCTGAAGCGGCGCGGGCCTCCCGGGACATGGGGCGAGGCAGCGGGCCGCCGCCTCGGAGCAGGAAGGGCGTCGGGTGCTTCGCCGACGGTCAGGTAACTTGGTGCGATTTTAAACAATCGGCCGATGAGGCCAAGAGGAAGAGCGCCGTCGGCAGCTTTCGAGCAAGGCGCGCAGCCTCGGCCCCGGGAGAGAAAGCGAAGGGCCCCCCCCCCCCCCCCAGGACAGGGCAAACGGTGAAGGGCCAAGGTTTTGAACCATGGCCCGGGCATCCGGGCCTGGGGGTCCGCGGAGGATCCAATGGGGGCCCAGTTTGATTCTTAGGCTTACGCCACACCGCCGACCCCTTGTTTATGCCAATCGGGGGGCAGTAGAAGCTGCGAAGGGGTGAAAAGGCGAGTGATATTTGTTTGGTGTCTGTTCGCCGCCACTGCCAGAGGGTCTCGGGCAGTTCCGCGGGGGTGTCCGAGCGGACGGCGACACCGCGGGCGGTCGTGGTCTCATCTGGGGCCATCTGAGAGGCATAATGGAGCCAGGTTGGGCTCGGGAATGTCTTCGAGCCGTTTCGGTAGCGGTCGGGAGTTTTTTTGGGGGGACTGTCCAGGAGTCATGATGGGTCAACTTGGCCATGTGCGAGGCCACGGCGCGTGCAAAGGGTGTGCCGGCATGGGGTATACTTGCATGCGAATCTTCCCACTGGGCCCCACGGTGGACGTATTCTGGAGCCACGACACGATCGACGTGTGTGTGCGCTTGGGGTTGGAAGTTTACGGGACCGCGGGTACTGGGGCTATGGTTGGAGCGCGCGAAGCCTTCGTGGGCCGTCTTGGAGGCCTCTTGGGTGCTTCTTGGCCCGTCTTGAGGCCCTCTTCGACCCGGAAAAGCTCTGGAACCGCTCGTCCCGGCCGTGCTGCGCTCGTCCCGGCTCCCTCCCCCCCTCCAAGTCGGCCCTCTTGGGCCGTCTTGGGGACCTCTTGGGCCGTCTTGGGGCCGTCTTGGGCCGTCTGGAGGCCGTCTTGGGGGCCTCTTGGGCCATTTTGGGGCTATCTTTGGAGCCTTTTTGCCCGTCTTGGAGCGTCGGAAAGCCGGAAAGGCGGAGAAGCCAAAAACGTCGAAAAACACGCTGGAAAATCAACAATTTAAGATTCTTTGGGCCCTCTTGGGAGGCTTGTTTGGGACCTCGGAGGCCGTCTTGGAGACCTCTTGGCCCGTCTTGGGGCCATCGTGGGCGTCTTGGAGCGGTCGTTTGGCGTCTCGGAGCCTTCGTGGGCCGTCTTGGAGGCCTCTTGGGGGCTTCTTGGCCCGTCTTGAGGCCCTCTTGGGCCCGGAAAAGCCTTGGAACCGCTCGTCCCGGCCGTGCTGCGCTCGTCCCGGCCCCCTCCCCCCCTCCAAATCGGCCCTCTTGGGCCGTCTTGGGGACCTCTTGGGCCGTCTTGGGGCCGTCTTGGGCCGTCTGGAGGCCGTCTTGGGGGCCTCTTGGGCCATCTTGGGGCTATCTTTGGGGCCTCTTTGGCCGTCTTGGAGCGTCGGGGAGCCGGAAAGGCGGGAAAGCAAGAAACGTCGAAAAACTCTCGGGAAAATCAACAATTTTAGACTCTTTGGGCCCTCTTGGGAGGCTTGTTTGGGACCTCGGAGGCCGTCTTGGAGACCTCTTGGCCCGTCTTGGGGCCATCGTGGGCGTCTTGGACCGGTCGTTTGGCGTCTCGGTGCCTTCGTGGGCCGTCTTGGAGGCCTCTTGGGGGCTTCTTGGCCCGTCTTGAGGCCCTCTTGGGCCCGGAAAAGCCCCGTGAGTCGCTCGTCCCGGACCCCCCCGCTCGCGCTCGACCCCCCCCCCCCCTCCAAATCGACCGGACCGGGCTCCCGGGGGAGGGGTTTGGGGAGGGGGAAGCATCTCACACGCCGATGGTCCCCAAGGGGTCGGCGGATTCATGTGCTCTCCCCAGGGAACTTTTGTATCCACTGTAGACAAACGTTCTACGATCAGAAGGGTGCCGCTTGTGATTTGCTCCGCTCGCTACAGAGAGGCCACTGTGAAACTCGAGGACCCATGACCCTGAGGCAACAGAAGGGGGTCACGAGTCTGGAGTCCCATGCTGTTCCCACACCTGTGCTTCAGTAGAAGATTTTTGTAGCCATCTAACAGGCCACCTTCCTTGGACGCTCGCACCTTAAGGAGACCGAGGCACGCGCCTGCATGAGTGCGGGAGCCGCAGCCGTGGCAGGACCGACGCGGTTCAGCAGGAAGCGAGGCTCGGACAGACCAGCCGACCCCGACAGAGACAAAACACTTCGGACGGGCGGCGGAGGCAAGGACAAAGAGAAGGGCGGCAAAGGCAAGGCGACGGACGGGCAGCTCTCCAACGCGATGGCTCGGCTCGTGCTGGCAAACACCAGGGACCTCGCCGACATGTCTTCCATCATGTACGAGCGCTATGCCATCAACACCAGCGCGGGCATCGTAAAAGGCGATGATCGAGGGAGGCAAAGCATACGAGGCGGACTCAAAAGGTATGCGAGCAGAGGCCGCGAAGGGCAACGCAGTGGATTGGAAGGCGAGGGGCCCTCCGTTCGTGCACGTATTCATGGCGGCCTGCTCCTACATCGCGGACAAAAAGGAGAAAATGACGGACCCCACCTCGACGGATCGCGAGCAGGCCAAGATATCGAAGGAGATGAAGGAGTTCTTCACCGACAAGTTAGAGAAGATAAACGTAGAGGAGACGGCCGACCTCATCATGTACTTCCGAGTACGCATGCAGAAGAAGTTCGAGGGCCAGGAGCAGAAGGCCACAGTTCTGATCAGGTTCAATCCGAGCAACCCGCTCACGCCAGCGATCGCCAACCACATTCTGAGGACCATCGAGATCGAGGGCGGGACCAAGCTGCGAGGGGCAGCCCCGCGGGGGCCCTTGGAGAGAGAGAGAGAGATCTCGAGGCTGCTCTGAGACGGCAGGTAGACCACATGAGCAGCAGTCGGCGCCTGGCGGAATTGATTGAGCGTGGCATTGTGAACCCAATTGTTGTAAGCAGCGCTTTCAGTAGCAGCGTATCGACTTATAACAACCCTGCCTTGCCTGCGCGTCCCGTGGTGATAATGCCTTCTCGCACGCGTCACGGGAGCCAGGCTAAAGGCAAGAAGGGAAAGGGACGTGGTGGGCGGGGGGGACGGACGGTTTGGGCGGGAAGGGAACGTAACACTCATTTGTTTTGAGCCTGTGCCGAGGTGTTGGCCCCGTATGGGGTGCTGTGCCTCTCAAGGTCGCCAGCCAAGCCAGTCCCATCATCGTGTGGGGTGCAACTGGCCTTCACTCAATATCGCGTTGGCTTCGTAGTGAGCCTTCCCAGAATCCCGAGTCACCTGGCACCACGCTTCGAGCAGGAGACGTGCTCAGTTTTTTGTGGACTGTGGCGGATTCCATGGGTTCTGAGTCTGAGGAGGAGGAGGAGGAGGAGGAGGAGGAGGAGGAGGAGGGGAGGAGGAGGAGGAGGAGGAGCAATGAGGTGGGCAGCGAGGAGGATCCTGCGCGCTGCTGCCCGTGCCCAGCGCCCGGCGCACCAGGCCCTCGCGAAGCTCGGCCCGCCGGCCAAGGCCGCCTTGTGCATGGCGGCCGGGGAGGCCTTCAACAGGCCCGCGGCGCGCGGCGCCCCCGCGCGCCACCAGCAACGCTCGGTGGCGGCCCAGCGATTCTCGACGACGGCGAGGACCCCGTCGGGCATGTCCCCCTCTACAGGAGGAAGAGTCCAAAATTAGCAAAACAAATAGGCAGGTGACGAGTTTTCCCCACATCCTGCGTGGGGTTCTTGTTTTCCCAGAACATCCTCTCCTTCTCCCTCCCGCCTCCCGCCTCCCACATCAATACCACGCCTACCATTCCAGCCTCCCATATCATACCATGCCTACCATTCCATACCATACCATACTTGCCATACCATACCATACCATATCATACCATACCATACCATACCATACCACACACTACCCAAACAATACCATACCATACCATACCTACCATGCCATACCACACCATACCATACCATACATACCACACACTACCGAACCCTACCATACCAGACCAACCATACTATATAGCATACGTACCATACCATACCATACCAGACCATACCTACCATGCAATACCAGACCATGCCTACCATACAATAGCATACCTACCATACGATACAATACCATACCACACATACCCTACACTACCATACCAAACTACCCATACAATACCATACCATACATACCTTACCGTACCATACCCGCAAGAGCGAGCAGGGTATCGGAGTACCACACTATTTACTAGGTTTCGTGCCCCTCCCGCCCCTCCAGGGAGGCCCCGCCTGAGCGAGGAGGGTATCGGAAACCCGTACTATTTACATGGTTTCGTGTCCCTCCCTCACCTCCAGGGAGGCCCCGCCTGAGTGAGGAGGGTTTTGGACACCCATACTATTCACATGGTTTTGTGCTCCTCCCACCCCTCCAGAGAGGCCCCGCCTGAGCGAGGAGGGTATCGGAAACGCATACTATTTACATGGTTTCGTGCCCCTCCCACCCTTCCAGGGAGGCCCCGTCTGAGCGAGGAGGGTATCGGGCACCGATACTATTTAGACGGTTTTGTGCCCCTCCCACCCCTCCAGGGAGGCCCCGCCTGAGCGAGGAGGGTATCGGAAACCAATACTGGCATCGGCCCGCCCCCGGAGCCCCAGGACGGGCGTCCGCGAGGATCAGTGCTTCAATACTTAGTTTGGCGAAGGACCCAACCAGATTCAGCTGTGAGCACCACAGTCGTGAGTATCATCTTCGGTGGAGCTCCCTATGGGGCCGCGAAGCGTGTTGAGGGGTGTGCCGAAATTGGCGTGGCGGACGCACGTGGACGGTGCCACTGGGGCCTTGGGTGGAGCTCCCTACGAAGCCACGAACAGTGTGAGGGGTGTGCCGAAATGGGCGTGGCGGACGCATGTGGACGGTGTCACTGAGGCCTTGGGTGGAGCTCGCTATGGGGCCATGGAACGTGTGAGGGGTGTGCCGACATGGGTGTGGCGGACGCATGTGGACGGCGCCATTAGGGCCTTGGGTGGAGCTCGCTATGGGGCCACGAAACGTGTGAGGGGTGTGCCGAACGGGGCGTGGCGGACGCAGGTGGACGGTGCCATTGGGGCGTTGGGTGGAGGTCCCGATGGGGCCACGAAGCGTGTGAGGGGTGTGCCGAAATGGGCGTGGCGGACGCATGTGGACGGTGCCATTTGGGCCTTGGGTGGAGCTCCCTATGGGGCCACGAAGCGCGGGAGGCGTGTGCCGACACGGGTGTGGCGGACGCGTATGGACGGTGCCACTGGGGCCTTGGGTGGAGCCCCCTATGAAGCCACGAAGCGTGTGAGGTGTGCGCCGAAATGGGTGTGGCGGACGCATGTGGACGGTGCCACTCAGGCCTTGGGTGGAGCTCACGATGGGGCCAAGAAGCGTGTGAGGGGTGTGCCGACATGGGCGTGGCGGGCGCACGTGGACGGTGTTCTTGGGGCCTCGGGTGGAGCTCCCTATGGGGCCACGAAACGTGTGAGGGGTGTGCCGAAATGGGCGTGGCGGACGCATGTGGACGGTGCCATTTGGGCTGTGGGTGGAGCTCCCTATGGGGCCACGAAACGTGTGAGGGGTGTGATGAAATGGGTTCGGCGGACGCAGGTGGACGGTGCCATTGGGGCCCTGGGTGGAGCACCTTTATGGGGCCACGAAGCGTGTGAGGGGTGTGATGAAATGAGTGTGGCGGACGCATGTGGACGGTGCCACCGTGGCTTTGGGTGGAGCTCACTATGGGGCCATGGAACGTGTGAGGGGTGTGCTGACATGGGTGTGGCGGACGCATGTGGACGGTGTGTTTGGGGCCTTGGGTGGAGTTCCCGTATGAAGCCACGACACATGTGAGGGGTGTGCTGAAATGGGTTTGGCGGGCGCATGTAGACCGTGCCAGTGGGGCCGTGGGTGGAGCTCCATACGGGGACCCGAAACGTGGGGAGCTCACTATGGGGCCACGAAATGTGTGGGGGGTGTGCCGAAAAGGGTTTGGCGGACGCAGGGGGGCGGTGCCATTGGGGCCGTGGGTGGCTCCCCTGATGGGGCCACCGAACTGGGCGTGGCGGACGCGTGTGGACGGTGCAATTGGGGGCTTGGGTGGGGATCCCTATCAAGCCAGGAATCGTATGAGGGATGTGCCGAAATGAGTGTGGCGGACGCATGTGGACGGTGCCATTGGGGCCGTGGGTGGAGCTCCCTATGGGGCCACGAGGCGTGTTAGGAGTGTGCCGAAATGGGCGTGGCGGACTCATGTGGACAGTGCCATTGGGGCCTTGGGTGGAGCTCCCTATGGGGCCACGAAACGTGTGAGGGGTGTGATGACATGAGTGTGGCGGACGCGTGTGAACGGTGCCACTGAGGCCTTGGGTGGAGCCCCTTATGGGGCCACGAAAAGTGTGAAGGGTGTGCCGACATGGGCGTTGCGGACGCATGTGGACGGTGTTCTTGGGGCTTTGGGTGGAGCTCACGATGAAGCCACGAAACGTGCGAGGGGTGTGCTGCCATGGGTGTGGCGGACGCAGGTGGACGGCGCCATTGGACCTTTGGGTGGAGCTCCCGAGGGGGGCCACGAAACGTGTCGGTGGTGTGCCGAAATGGGCGTGGCGGGCGCACGTGGATGGTGCTGGGTGGAGCTCCCGATGGGGCCACGAAACGTGTGAGGTGTGTGTGTGTGTGTGTGCGTGGTGGAATGAGTCTGGCGGGCGCAGGTGGACGGTGCCATTGGGGCCTTGGGTGGAGCTCCCTATGAAGCCACGAAACGTCTGGGTGGCGTGCCGAAATTAGTATTGCGGACGCGCATGGACGGTGCCATTGGGGCGTTGGGTGGAGCTCCCGATGGGGCCACGGAACGCGCGAGGGCTGCAGAAATGGGGGTGGCGGAAGCATGTGGACGGTGCCACTGGGGCGTTGGGTGGGCCTCCCTATGGGGCCAAGAAGCGTGTGAGGGGTGTGCCGAATTTGGTGTGGCGGACGCTTGTGGACGGTGTTTTTGGGGCCTTGGGTGGAGTTCCCGTATGAAGCCACGACGCATGTGAGGGTGTGTGCTGAAATGGGTTTGGCGGACGCATGTAGAAGGTGTCATTCGGGCCGTGGGTGGAGCTCCATACGGGGACCCGAATGCCGAAATGGGCGTGGCGGGCGCATGTGGACGGTGCCGCTGGGGCTTTGGAGCTCCCGATGGGGCCACGAAACGTGTGAGGGGTGTGATGAAATGAGTTTGGCGGAGCATGTGGGCGGTGCCACTGGGGCTTTGGGTGGACCTCCCCATGGGGCCTCGAAATGTGTGAGGGGTGTGCAGGCATGGGTGTGACGGACACGGTGCCAGCGGGACTTTGGGTGGAGCTTTCTATGGCGCCACGAAGCATGTGAGGGGTGCGCTGACATGGGTGCGGCGGACGCATGTGGACGGTGCCATTGGGGCTTTGTGTGGAGCTCACAATGGGGCCACGAAACGTGTGAGGGTTGCAATGACATGAGTGTGGCGGACGCGTGTGGACGGTGCCACTGGGGCCTTGGGTGCAGCTCCCTATGGGGCCACGAAAAGTGTAGCGGGTGCCGAAATGAGTGTGGCGGACGCATGTGGACGGTGCCAGTGGGGCTTTGGGTGGAGCTCACTAGGGGGCCACGAAGCGTGTGAGGGGTGTGCCGAAATGGGCGTGGCGGGCGCACGTGGACGGTGTTCTTGGGGCCTTGGGTGGAGCTCCTTATGAAGCCACGAAACGTGCGAGGGGTGTGCTGACATTGGTGTGGCGGACACATGTGGACGGTGCCATTGGGGCTTGGGGTGGGGCCCCCTACGGGGCTATGTGCAGAAATGGGCGTGGCGGACTCATGTGGACGGTGCCACTGGGGCCTTGGGTGGAGCTCCCTATGGGGCCACGAGTCGTGTGAGTGGTATGCCGAGATGGGTGTCGATGATGGTGACGATAATGGCGATGATGATGGTGATGATGACGATGATGACGATGATGTTGATGATGTTGATGATGACAATGCTGATGATGAGAAGAGGGAGGAGGGGGAGGAGGAAGGATGGAATGAAGGAAGGAATGCGGGAACCGTCTCTTCAAAACGATGATCTAACGCCACAAGATGGTTGGCAAGCATGGCGCGTCGATGCGTTGTTATTCTGCTGCGTTCCGTGACCTCCTCGCGCCGCGGAAAGAATTATTGAATCGCTTCGCTCATTCCGCTGGCCCATACGGTCTCATGTCTGCCGTTTGCCCGAGGGCCTGGTGTCAATGCGGCGCTTTGGGGGTTCCTGGGGCCGCTTGGGGGACTCCTGGGGCGCTCGGGGGGGCATTTGGGGGGCCTCCTGGGGCCGCTTGGGGGACTCTTGGGGGCCTCCTGAGGGCCTCGTGGGGGCCTCTTGGGGCCTCTTAGGGGCCTCTTGGGGCCTCGTAGGGGCTTCTTAGGGCCGAGGGCGCGAAATTTTGTTTCGTGTTCCCTCTCTGGGGCCCCTTTGGGGGTGTTCTTGGGGCCCTCTTGGACCGTCTTGGAGGCTTCTTGGGCCGTCTTCGAGCCCTCTTGGGCCATCTTGGGGCCCTCTTGGGGGCCTCTTGGGCCCTCTTGGGGCGATCTTGGGGGCCTCTGGGGCCGTCTTGGGGCGTCGGGAACCGAAAAGGTGGAAGCTCCAAAATCTCTCAAAAACCTAAGGAAAAACAATGAATTTTGCCTCCGGGGGCCCTCTTGGGAGTGCTCTGGGAGGCCTCTTGGGGCGTCTGGGGGCTATCTTGGGCGTCTTGGAGCGATCTTGTGGCATGTCGGACCCCTCGTGTACCATCTTGGGGGCCTCTTGGGGGCCTCTTGGCCTTTCTTGGGGCTCTCGGGGACGTCTCGGAGCCCTGTTGGTGCGCTCATGGAGCGCTCCTGGAGCGCTCTGGGGGACTCCTCCCGCGACTCTCTCAGGACCTTGCCGGGGTACTTTTCGTCCGGGGACCCCCAGGGGCCGCCCCGCGCGCGCGAACTAGAGAATTCTTAACCAGTTACCGAAGATCTTAGCACGCCTCTGGCCCGTTGGGCCGGCGAATTTGGCTTCGAGCGATCCCCACCCGAGAACGCAAGGCGGGGAACACAGTGACATTTGGGGCCTGGTGGCAGCGGTATGCAGCCGTCGTTCGTCGAAATTGCGAGGCGGGGTACCCACTGGGATCCTTGGGGCCTGGCAGCCGGGACACGCAAGGTGTACGATGCGGATCGGAGGTCTTTTTTGTGTTTGAATGTGGCAGCCCCAATCTGCTGGGTGGAGACAAAGGGTTTGTCGCTGTCCTCGTCCTCTGTGCCTCACCTGGCCGCTGGATTACCACACAACGACCCAGAATTGACAAAATTGTCCGAGGGATAGTGTCCAGACGTGAGGGCTGCACGGTGTCCTGGCCTCGATTCCGTATCGTTCCAACTTGCAGTTGAATTTTCGACATTCCAATCGACCTCATTTCGCCATTTCACTCTAGACTTTGCTCCACCCCACTGCGCTTCGCACTACATCGCTACAATTATCCGCCTCTCCGCTACACCCCAGCTCGCTTGTTATCCCGTTACCTCCCTTTTTCTCCAACGGCCATTCGCCGATGTTCCCAGGTCGCCTTTCCGTCTTCGTCAATGGCCATAGCACCCCTGTCTTCGCCACATTCACCTTGTCTGCCTTCTCATATATCGGGGAAACGTAAGACACGAGTAAGCCGGAACGCGGGTTTGGCGACCTTTTTTTACGAGCGCGTCCTGGATTTTGGCGGTCCCGTCTTCGTGGGATGTCTGCAGCGGGAGCCCGCGTCACATTTCAGAGTGGGTCTCCTCATTTTTGATGGCCCCCGTCAGGCCAGCCCGAGTCCCCCATACCCGAGGCTTGCGTCCCCACGAATATACCCTCCCCCTGATGCATGTGGGGACCAAAGGTCCTCATGATCCCACCATGATAGCCCTGTTTTCCATCACCACCACCACCATAAGTTGGAGGAGGAGGGAGTCCTCCTCCTCTTCCTCCTCCTCCTCCACCTCATTCTCCGCGTCGTCCTCCTCCTCCTCTTCGTCGTCCTCATCCTCCTCCCCCTCCAACTTATGGTGGTGGTGGTGGTGGAAAAACAGGCCCATCACACCATGCCCCTGGGGTCGACCACACGTCCCACCCGTCTCCTCGTTGTTGCTTTCTTCGCCTGCCCACACCGTGTCCACAGGGTCTCCACACGTCCCGCGGTGTCTTTTAAAACCAATCCCCATCCCCATACCTTATTCCCCTCGAGACCCCCACCAAATTACCCCCCCAGTTGGGGGTACACCCCTCGCAACTCGAAGGGAACGACCTATATCCTTATCTAGAGGGGTAAATCGACCAGTGGGGCCCAGGCCGCGCCGCTGGGGATGGGCATCGGTGAAACGATACTCAGCCCCCCCGCTTTCTTCATCAGCGAAGCGCTACCACGCGCAAACAAGATGAAGAAGGACACGGCTAGACAACGCAATTTACGGTATGACCAATCGCACCAGGCATGCACAGCATCCGTGGGATTGAAAGCCATCTCCCGTGATTTGCATGCTTCTTGTTTGGTAACATTGTTAGTTTTCTTCAGTGATTCTTGCCAGTCGTGTTTAATATTGGTTTGCGAATCCTTGTCGGCGAAGTCTTGTTATCTGCTCCCTCCCCTGGCTTTGCCACGCTGTCTCAACACTGCATGGGCTTTGGCCCCGAGCTGCAGGCAGTTGCACAAGTTTTCCACTGCGGACAAGGCATTGCTCATGTGGTCGCTGGCCAAATCCAGGCGACGCGGCACCAGTCGTCAAGAGGTTCCGTGCTCTCGCTCGTTGTCCTTTGTCGTATCGCCCATTTTTGTTAGACCCATGGTATCGGATACGCCTCCGGCGAGGCACCGCCGCCACCCACGATCGAAAAGTGGGCCCTCTTGTGGGCATCATAAACAGCGTCCTGGCGCCTCTTTGGGGCCTCGTGAGCTGGTCTTGGGGCCTTTCGGCCTCTTGATGGCATGGTAGGGGTCTTCCGGCAACATCGGAGGCAGCTTGGAGTCGACTCCCAACCATGTTTGGGGGTCTTTTCCCGATCCCTCGTGTGGGCATTCTTTGCGGCCGTTTTGCGAAACTTCTGAGTCCCGCTTGCAGACCTCGGAGGCCGTCCTGGAGCCCTCTTGAGTGCTCCTTGAAGCGCCTTGGACGCGTTCTGCGCCGACTGGGCGAGAATAGCCGAATCATACCAAGACTCCCAGGGTCCCAAAGACGGCCTAATAGAATTCTTAAGACGGCCCGGCGACGGGCCATGGGTCATGTTGGGGCACGCCACAGGCCACGGTTTCGCAACCATGTGCGCTCATTTGGGGGACGAGAATCGTCGTGGCATCGTGATCTTCATCGTGGTGTTCATCGTAGGCCGAGGGCGCCTCCTGGCGTCACCATCCCTCACACAATGACCACGCTGCGGAGGGCATCGCGGGACCAGGGCCTGATGCGGCCCCCGGAGGGGGGTCGCATCTTTGATTCAGGCCCAACCTTCAGTCGTGTCTCGCCGTTCTCATCCTTAATCGTTCGCGTGGCGTGTGGTGTCAAGAAGCTGGATACACATGACGAGGCCGGCTTGGGCGAGAGCTGGATGCACATGTGGCCGCATGTTTTCCCAGCGCCCCGCCCGAGTGTGGACGGTACGCTGGCCCTACGCATGCGTATCCAGCAAGTGGCCTCCGGATGCTCCACGTTATGACAGTTTGAAGACATTATGAAAGTATGGTTGATTCGTATCTTATGGTGACATGTTGCCAGTATCGCACCAGGTCGTCATTACAGACTATTGTGTTCTTTGTCACTGCGAATGCTGGTCCGTGTATTGTGTATTGTCCACGATGTTTCATCGTTTGCATTATGTCCGAATCATTTCTATCATGCCCGATCGCAGTTACCCACTGTTCACGTCTACCCATGGCGCATCCGTGCCTCTACTCGTTTTCAACCGTTATCTGATATAAGACGCCTACGGCGTATCACCGCCGCCTTGACCATATTGGGCCATCTTGGCCGTTTTGAGGTTACCCAGGCACCGTCGCGGGCGGGAAACACAACGAGGTTGGGCCGAAGCCGACTTGGAGGTCTTCAGGCGTCTACTGCGAATCACCGCCGGCCCCCGCCTTTTGGAAACGCCCATGCGGCCAAACGTTGCGCCGAAGTCTTGTCAAGCTATTGGGGTATGTGTTCCCCCATCCGTTGCGAACCCCCTTGGAGAAGCACTGGGTAGAGTAAGAGAGAGGAGGATAAGAGGGAGGGGGAAGGGGGAGAAAAGGAGAAGGAGGAGGATGAAGAGGAGACATTTTGAGGCCCTCTTGAGGCCTCTTGGGCTTCCTGGGAGCGGGCCCCGTGGGGACCTTTTGGGGGCATCTGGGGGACTCTATGGGTCCTCTTGGCCTTCGGATGCCGTCTTGGGGCCAGCTTTTTGGCCGTCTATGAGGTGTCTTTGGGGCTGTCTTCGGGTCACGTGTCGGGGCCCTCTTAGACCGTCTTGCGGGCCTCTTGGGCGCCTCTTGGGCCGTCTTGTGGCGATCTTTGGGGCTTGCGTGCCCGTCTTGGCGCGTCGGAAGTCCGAACAGGCGAGAACGCTCAATCATGGAACAGCCTAAGGCAAATCAATGATTTTGGCCTCCTGGAAGTCCTCCTGGGGTCTCTTGAAGCTCTCTTGGGGACCTTTTGGGTGCCTCTTGGGAGCCTCTTGGCCTTCGGAGGCCGTCTTTGGTCCTCCCTGGGCAGTCGTTGGGTGCTTCTTTGGGCGCTTTTGGGCAGTCTTGAAGGTCTTTGGGGCCGTCTTCGAGGCCTCTTGGGCTGTCTTGGGCCGTCTTACGGGTCTCTTAGGGGCCTCTTTGGCCGTCTTGGGGCGACCTTTTGAGCTTATGGGCCCGTCTCGGAGCGTCCGACACCCGAACAGGCGAGAACGCTAAAATAATGGAACAGCCTAAGGACAATCAGTGATGTTGGCCTTCTGGAGGTCCTCCTGGGGCCTGTTGTGGCTCTCTTGAGGACCGCTTGGGGGCCTCCTTGGGGCATCTTGGCCGTCGGAGGCCGTCTTGGGCTCTCCCTGGGCAGCCGCGAGTCCCTTTTTGGCCGCTTCAGAGCCGTCTCGGAGGTCTCTGGGCCGTCTTGGAGGCCTCTTGGGATGTCTTGGGGCCCTCTTGAGTCTTGCGGGTCTCCTGGGGGCCGTCTCGGGGCGATCTTGGGGGCTTGTGGGTCCGTCTTGGAGCGCCGGATGCCCGAAAGGCGAGAACGCAAAAACCATTGGAACACCATAGGAGAAGGAAGATCAAACAATTTGGCCCGCTGGAGCCCTCTGCGGCCGAGGGTGATTTTTCTTGGGACGCCTGGGGGACATCGTTTGGGGCGTCTTTTGGGCGCTACCTTGGCTGTCTTAGGAGGCGGACCGTCTGGGACCATCCTGGGCGAGCTTGGAGGCACTCCTCCTCCTCCTCCTCCTCCTCCTCCTCCTCCTCCTCCTCCTCCTCCTCCTCCTCCTCCTCCTCCTCCTCCTCCTCCTCCTCCTCCTCCTCCTCCTCCCTCCTCCTCCTCGCTCCTCCTCCTCGCTCCTCCCCTCCTCCTCCTCCTCCTCCTCCTCCTCCTCCTCCTCCTCCTCCTCCTCCTCCTTCGTCCTCCTCCTCCTCCTCCTCCTCATCCTTCTTCCTCCTACTCCTCCTTCCTCCTCCTCCTTGGGAGGTCACCTGGGGACCGTCGTGGGCAGGAAAACAACGGTAGGTACATTTTCAGGGTGGCCAGCGGGTGGGGCCGAAGCCGAGTTGGAGATCTTCAGACCACTGCGGCGAGCCATCGCGGCCTCTCTGCCCTTCTTGGGAAGCGCGCCTGTGGTCAAACGTTGGGCCACCGTCTGAATGAGCTAGTAGGCTATGTGTTCCCAAAGCCGTTGTGGAATCCCTTGGGGAAACGCGTGGGTGGGAAGAGGAAGAAGGAGGAGGAGGAGGAGGAGGTGCTTCCTGAGCGTCTCCTGAGGGCCTCTTGGAGGCCTCTTATGGGCCTTCTGGGACCTTTGCGGCCGTCATAAGGCGCCCTTAACACGTCTCACGACGTCGGAGGATGTCTTGGAAGCCTCTCTGGGCCGTCTTGGGGCCCTCTCGGAGCGCTTCAGGGCCGTCTTGGAATTGTCTTGGGCGTCTTTGGGCTCGTGGGGGCCTCTTGGGTGATCTTGGGCTCCTCGTGTGCCGACTTGGGGGCAGTAGTGCTTTGCGCGGCCCGCCCAGCTCTTAACCGCAAGAGGCTCGCTCTCGACCCGCAGACCAGAAAAGTGCCGACTTGGGGGCCCCCTTGAGTTGTTTTGGAGCTATCTTGGAGGCCTCTTGGGCCGTCTTGGCGCGTCGAAGCCCGAGCACGCGCCCCTGCGGACAGCAGGCAGTATGCGGGCGCCCCCGCCGACCCTGTCAACAAAAACCATACACAAAGTGCTCCCGCCCGGCCCCCCGATCATGACCCAAGATTTTGCCCCAAAGTGGATCTCACGTTGTTTTTTGACAGGGATGGCGGGGGGGTGCTCTCGATTGTCCTGGTTGGCTGCCGGTCGCCTGGGGGAGGGGGCGCTTACTAGCAGGAGCAGTGGTATAAGCCCCTTAGAACACATGAGCAGCACCCAGGCCTCAGCATGTTCAGAGCTTGTCTATGGATGTGCTGCTGCTGGGAACGAATCCAGATCCCATGTGCGCGATGGGGCGAGGTACGCCACGCGTGCCAGGCGCTCTGGTTGCGCCAGGCACTCCTTGGGCCCAAGCGTGCCGGGCACGCCTCGCGCGCCAGATACGCCACGTGCTCCACGTGCGCCCTGTGAGCCGCGCCATGTGCGCCACGTCCGGGGCACGCGCAGAATGTGCCAGGTGCGCCCGTGCACGTGACAGCACACATCGGGAAACGTGTCGGCCCCCACTACCGTTGTAGAAAACCAATGCGCAATCGCGGCGAGTTGGCCATCATAGCATAGAAAGAGCGTGTTCCACCGCTGCTGGCGGAAAACCGGGGGGGGTCACTGGTGGTTCCCAATCCGTCCCCCCCCCCTCGAAAACCGGGGGGGGGCACTACCAGTTCGAACCTCCCCCCCCCCGTCCATCATGAAAAGGGGGGGTCACTACTGGTTCGAACCCCCCCCCGCTCGAAAACCGGGGGGGGGCCACTACCAGTTCGAGCCCCCCCCTCCCCCCCCCCCCCCCCCCCCCCCCCCCCCCCCCCCCCCACACACACACA